TTCATAAAATTTTTCGATTTGTAAAACATTTAAAATCCATTTTATTTTTTAAGACCGTTCTAAAATGGACGAAGTGGTAGAGGTAGAGAGTAGAGTATACTCCACCGAACCGGAAATTCATAGGTCCTGATCATTGCAATATCTATCAAGCCGGCTTTAAGGAGGCTAAAACCGTCAGCTAAATTGGGTGCAAGGTAACAAGGGTGTGGCAGGTAATGAGAGATCTGACGAGCTAGCCAAGGAGGACGATCTCTTAGACGCCTTACTAGTGATGAATATACCAATTCCTCTTCGGGGATATCAAAATATTGCAAGATCTTCTCATATACCACCAGACTGGTTAGTTTTTAGAAAAGAAGTCAGGGTTGCAGACTTTCAAAGATTTTGTACAGCTCAAACGATAAGAAATTAGGTGATATCCTATAATAAATAAGAAGTACAGACTCGAGACTTCTGGTAGGATTGTTAACAGGGCATTGTTTGCTGGCATGTACTGTTTAAATTTTGTCCCCTAGAAGATAAAAGTATAGGAAGAGCAACTAGCACGAGGAAACTATGGCGCATATAATTTGCGAGTGTCCAGACTTCAGTTGGTAAAGAATTGCGTTACTCGGCAAGGTATAGCTGCAGGGCCTACAGTCAGAAAAATACCTCTTGAGAGTAAAGTATGTACATTTTTTTTACAATTTTTGTACCTAAGCGTCACCAAATACTCAACTCAAATGATTACGTTTCTTTAGCTTTTTGAACCAAATGAATTTCACCAACTTTTTTGAGGCGATTAATCGCCACTGCTATGTCACTGTTTCTCTGGATTCTCCTTTTAACTTTCGCCATCACTCCTGCTTTCAATCAATCTCATTAGCCAACAAATCGTGGGTGCTCGAAAAATGTATGTACGAACAAACCTTCGTAACAATTTCTAGGCATACAGATCGTAAAAAGGCAAAAGAAGGCACTAAAAAAGATAAAAACCGAAAAATAATCAAAAAATACATTTAATTTAGTAATGTTTATTTTACAAGTAAAAAGAGAAAAACTATGAACTAGTCTCATTATATGAAACATTTGTACTTTGACTGACTATTTTCCCCTTTCGGAACTCACTAAACTTTAATCTCTATCCAACAATTTTTATTGAGCTCGAGGCCGTTTTTAATGAAAAACTTATTGTGGAATCTCTAATCTCTGAATCTCAATCGCTGTAGTAACATTGAAGCATATGTAGATGCATTTTGAAGTTTTCTGATAGCGTTTTCACTCGATTTTGAATGTACTAAACGTGCGCTCGACATGAGTTGATACCAGTGGCGCCCTACATTTAAACATTTCAAACTTTCATATTATCAGGAATACGGGCTTTTTCCTTGCCCTTTACAATTAAAGGTAGAAAGGCATAAAAATACAACATCAAATGTGTATACGGGCTCATTCCACGGTGACAGGTAGGACATTTCAACTCACATTTTATGGCTTAATTCTTAAACTGTAATATAAAATTCTTTAAAACGGGTATTTTCCAATAGGTTTCCGAGGTGTACGCAATGCCAAGGAAAAAAATTCAGTTTAATCCAAACGAGTTAAATGAATTTTAGTTTCTGTGAAGGGTGTGACGAGTACGCAAACCAAATTAGCTACTACTTACTTGCATCCGAGTTTTTCTGCTAATTATGTCGTCTGCTTATGGTTTCAAATAAATCGCTGTATAGTTAAAGAACCCTTTTCAATACTTACGCCAAAGCTGCTTACCTCGATTGGAAATTATAGATTACATATATGTGCCAAATTAAACTTCGACGGGTGTGACTTGACTTTGTGACGGGTGTGACAAGTTGAGCGTGAATACATAAATACACATTTTTAGACAATTAAACTAACTTTGTTGCTCAAATAATCTGATTTTACGAATTTATAAAATATTCTGCCACCTAAAGATGGGGTAATCCTTGATCGGACTCTTCATCTCCATTGTCGGTCTGAGTAATTGTAAAGTATCATAATGATTATCATCGCTGATCACTAGCAGATATATGATACATTTCAGATTAGCAGATAAGTAACGGTCCCTGGCCGAATTTATTGATATTTGTCAAACTATTAATTGTGACGGGTGTGACAGGTGATGTGCGTGACCAACATAATCTGTCCTTTTTTCGAAAATAAAAGCATATAAGTAAATACTTGAGAGCAATTCGCACATATTCGCCTATGTAATAGTGTTACTTTCGTCAGTTTTTTTACACTGTCCAAGATGTGTTTTCCTCCAAAAAATAACAATTTTGTGACGTGCGTTACATTAAAATATGGTTTGCTTCAATATATAAAAAAATATTTAGTACTTGAACGAAAAACTTAAAAATTACTGTTCCTGCACTGACCATTTAAATAATGCAAAAAAGAAAATAGACTACGAAAGTCAGTCTTTCAATTGTGAAGAAAATCAACCTCTGATTTGAGTTTGTAAATGGTGAGACCTAAAGTATAAAAATATCTGATTTTGATATAAATTTCGAAATTTTGGCTTTCATTCTTAAAAGTCAAATTTATTTACCCTTACTTACTAGAAATAATACACTCAAATTCTTAAGTTTGTTTTTAGTCTCATTCGGTATCGATTATAGTGGAATGAGCCATATATAGAATCAGGAAAATCTAAATCGAATATACTCTATCTCTTTAGCAGAAAAAAGGCAATTTCCATAAACTATTCGGTATCGCGCCGATTCCCGTATTTATTTGGAAATGTATCGTTCGTGAAGAAGAGGGGGGGAGGGGTAAAATGTGGTATTTGTGACTTTTACTTTTTCCTTTCTAAGTCCAACCGATTTTTTTTTATCAACTGTTACCATTTTTTTTTTTTCTATCTGCCTCCATATAGTTGAAACACTGTGCGCTGTAACGAAAAAGCAGCAGAAGAAGGGTGAAGATGGCGAAGGTGGTTGCGCGCCATTAAGATGAAAATTAAGATTAAGGTTTGTATACATATAAATTAAGATTAAGATTGAGGTTAAGATTAAGATTAAGATGAATATCAAGAATTAGATTAAGATTAAGAATAAGATTAAAATAAAGATTTGGTTTAAGGTTAAGATATAGCTTAAGATCAAGATTTAATTAGGATTAAGAAAAGGACTAAGATTAAAATTAAGATAAAGAATAAGATTAAGATTGAGATTGAGATTAATATTAAGGTAAATATTAGAAAAAGACTAAGACTAAGATTGAGATTGAGTTTAAGGTTAAGATTAAGATTAAGATTAATGTAAAGATATTAGGAAAAGTACGAAGATTAAGTTTAAGGCTAAAATTAAGATAAAGATTAAGGTTAAGAGTAAGATTAAGATTAAGGTTAAGCTTAATATTAATATTAAGAAGGAGATTGAGATTAGGAACTTTTTCCTCGAAAATATTCTTCTTCGAAAATATTCTATTACTAGTCATCCCTACATTATTAAAAACGCAGTATCAGAGTCATACATATGTAAGTTAGATTCTTGGCCCTCACAGTGCCAGGCTCTCGACAGAAACTGGTAAAACGGCGGCTGTAATTTTACTATGAAAAAAAAAAACGCGTCATAAACAACGCTTCGCTGCCGCATTTGTGTGACTACACCAAGACGCACCACCACAAATTGGAGGAAGAGTGCGAAAACATTTTTTTATAAGTATTTAAAGATCAATGGCATGTTTTTGAAGTGACAATGATTTTCGAAAAATCTTAGTGATGTACATATGTAAGTACCTACTTAATATCTGTCTACCAGAGCGTATGAGTAATATTATATGAGTACTTGTTACTAACTTCTCTTTCGAATATGTAACGACACTCAAAGCCTGAGCTGCTCTGCACTCTTCTCATTTAATCTCTACACCACTAAAAATTTCTCATTTCCACTCTGAGGCTCTTCTACAACACCAGTTCACTCATTGGTCCCCCCTCTACCACTTTTGCAAATCATTCACAGTCGCCTTAAAGATTTGTTTATTTTTGTTTACATTCTACATGGTTTGTTTTCGAAACAAGTGTCCCCAAATTACAACAATAAAAACGTCAAAGCAAACAAGCAAACCAGCAATCAAAACAAATACAACAATTAAAATGCAATACAACTTTCGTAGCGAAAGTGTGTATGAAAATTTACCAGGAATGAGTGGCGTACTACTATATGCCGGCCAAGCACTGCATTTATTTATTTTGATTTTGTTTTGCTTACGGTAAATTTGGCTCTACTACATATATACAATACATACAAACAAATATTCGCACATGTTCGTGGAAATTCAAATCCCACGAGACAAAGCGCCGCGACCGCACATTTTCATCTGACTGTGATGAGCCATCAGTGGCGTATCGCACAGGCACTCAGGCCATTGAATGGCTGCTGTTGGTTGCAGTTGGTGAACGCCAATGGAGGGCAAACTTTTAGACGAAGACGAAACGTTGACAATGTCGACAGGCAGCAAGGCGACGATGATGTGCATGACGTTATGATTATGATGATTATTAAATTGTGTTTGCTGGTGATGATTACGTTGTGTTGGGGCAAAGCGTTTGGTGATGCGCTCGTGAGCGCTGTGAGGTGCCAAATGTATTGTTTTGCTTATGACCACAAAAACATTGAGTGAAATAGAAAAAAAATAGAAAATATTTTATTAAATACATACAAACATTCATACTTATTATCATGCAAATGTATGGTCTGAGGTGTGAAATGATTGCTTTTACAAATTGCCTGTGTCCACTGATTTTGTTTACATTTTTAGCAATAAATATTTTCTGTGTATTAAACGCAAAGTTTAAGGAAGAAAAGTGCGAAATTAACTAGGAAATTCATTTGGCGCAAACTTAGCGCAATATTTCATATGACTCAAAGTGCATAATTAGAAACTGAAAATTAATATAAATATTAACTAAATAAACAAAAGTTGAACTTCGTTTAAAAAATATCTAAATATTTTTTATGTGTGTGAAACGAATTTGTGTGCATTTTATTTGGATTATGGAAAATGTCAATGCAACTGCAGCTACTATACGTCAACAGCAACAACAATTACAACAGCATCAGCAGTTGCAGCAACATCATCAAGAACAACAGCAGCAGCATGAACATCAGCAGCAATTTTGTTTGCGTTGGCATAATCATCAGGTAAACAAAAATAAACATACAATTATTTAAATAATTAAAAAAATTTGGTAATACATATAATAGCTTAGGTTACGGTGGTTGCCACCGCGTACAGTCCAGCGTAGAGGCACACTTAGTGGGCTCTTGTTCCTTTCACTTACATAGTTTCCTGTATGGTTAAATCACTGTGTTGCCATAACGTAGCGTTGAAGGTCGTGGATGTCCATAGAGTCGACATCAGGTAAACACCACGATTGAGAGAATACAAAGGTTTCGCCGATCTCGGACCGCTATTCCTCTCAACGAATTTGGACAGAATCGTTGTTTGCATGACGTCACACTGGTGCAACTTGTTTACGTCCTTCTTTCAACATGTTTTCTTCTTCTTTCATTCTTGCTCACATTTTGGCATTTCTCTCTCGCAATTTCACCAGTGTGACGTCACACAAAAGTTATTCTCAAAAATCCTATCATTCTTGGGTAAACACTTTGTGCGTTCCTTATCTCCCAGAAATAGTCAGAAAAAGTCCGAAGTAGTCAGATTTAGTCCAAAAAGCGTTCCTTAACTCGGAAATGAAGCTAAAATGAGAGAGCAACACCCAGTGAGAGTGACTCTCATCAGTCCGAAGTAGTCAGATCTAGTGAGAAGAATTTTTTCTGGCAAAATACTGAAAAGTGTCAAACTCAACTAAATTTAAATTAACGGAAATTAAAGAATATACAAAAAGTGAGAATAATCTAAAAAGTAAAAAAAGTGAATTGAAATCGGAAGGAGGCAAAAAATAATTGATATAGTAAGTGTTTATTGTGCTTGTGCTTGTGTGAATGTGTTTTGTACATACATTTCCATTCTTATTTGACGTTAGCTTTGTTGTTGCCATTCTTTGGACTAAAAATTTGGTTTTTTGCGTTCCTTTACTTTTCCTGTTATTCTCTTTTAGTGAGCGCATTTTGCTCACGCTCTGGCATTTTGACACTTTTCAGATTTTAGTCCAAAAAGATAAGGAATGAACCTACTGATAAATATTGCACTCTCTCCATTTCCGCCTAGTCCCTGAAGTTATGGCAGAAATCGTGAGCGGGGTAACCTAATCGCTTACCATGCGCTCCAATTAAGCAGTGTCCTGTAATGATACCGACAACCGCGCTGATGATGGGGTGAACAATTTGTATGAGAGGTTTCTCGGGTTCCTACGGTTCGGACCGACCACTACACACCGGTTCTGGGTCCGAATAGACCTTTCACCAATCACATTCCAGCGAGACAGCACTGGAAAGGGTACAGTGTCTGGAATCGTAGTCCTGTAAACTTATTCACGATGGAATGGGCAGGTAGGTGGAGGTGTCTTCTGCGAAGAACTCTCCATCAGCATGAAATTTGGGTTACCGGATCAATGGAGCATCTGCCAAAAAGAGGTGACCGTAAAAAAAGAGGCTTCGGATTGGTTGCTTCTAGTGTAACACCTTTTAAAAAGGTGAATATTTATTCCGACAGCCAAGCAGCCAACAAGGCTCTTGGCTGATTGACGTTGTGTTCGAGAACGGTGAAAGAGTGGCTGACTTCCTTATTGACCGCATCGGATTACTTCGCTATCAAGCTTATTTTCGTGCGGTTTGTTTCTGGACCGATGGGCAATTAGTCATCTCAGCGAGCGCTGGGCGAAGACACTGGAACGCAAGGTAGTAAAATCCTTTTGGCCGCCTGTATGTCGGAGGCGGTCTGGAGAGCTCTTGAGACTAAGCAAGATACACCTCTCGCTATTGGTGGGAGTGTTAAGTGGTAACCTACTGCTCTGCACGGTTACCCATAAACGTGTACGTAGCGTACCATTGAAGAGCGCAGAAACATCAAATTTGCTGTTGATAGAGAGAGAGAGAAGCAACATCAAAGTCACGGTCATGCTGTGGTGAGTTTTCGTTAACACACAGATTCCATGATCATGCCAGTTGACAATAGGGATGTTAATTTTTCAGCTTTTTCCGATCACGGGATTTTAGGGGTGTCGTTATCTCGGCAAATAATCCCGGGATTTTCGGCACCTTAAAAAGGCCTTGATCCCGGGATTAACACTCCCAGTTGACACGCTCTCCGTTTTTACGTCCGTGGGTAACTGCGCTTTAAGGTTTAAGCACCTTGGGTCGCATTTTTTTCCTGATTAGCTTTCGGGAATGAACATCAGTCGCTTGAAGAGCTTCATCGCGAGCACGGAACGTTTCTCATACAAGAAGCCTTAGGTGTCGTCATTCTTCCTTACATTCCCTCCCTTTCCATATCCCCGCCCCTCTTTTCCTACCCCTGCGCCCTATTCCCTCTCCCCTCTTAAGGGCAACACAAAGAACAGATTAGTCATGTCTAAGTCAGTGTGTTTCTGCAGAGGCAGCCTGATAGCCTAACCTAGATCCTTTATCATTGATGCTTGGCCAGATATAATTAGTAAGGAATTATGTTGGTTCCTTCGCTCAACTTTAGTTGGCTAATTCAATGAGCCATAAGGCGGCCTCCCTTATATTTGTTAACTCGGCCTTGAAACCGCTGCAGTGGCAAGGGAGCCACATGATGAGGTTTGGTGAGGAATTTTTAGAGTAAATTCCGTTACCAACCTTAATCCGTAAAGAAGGTGGTAGAATGTAAGTCCAAGCAGTTTACCCCGTCGCTTCTGGATGGAATTCTGATGGAAACGTCGGTAGGAAAAAAAAAGTTTAATATAGTTTTTAGTGCCTTATTGGGGGTAGAGGGCTGGGCTCCTGTGCTTAACTTGGTTGGACTGCTCTAGAAGCAGCCATCATATGGAAATCCTATAGAAATGGATGGAATGGACAAGTGCCGTGTAAATCCACCGCTACTCTGCAAGCGTAGAGGGCGTTTATGGCTTTCCTGGATCGCTCCGTAAGATTCCGTTTCCAGTTAAAATTTCTGTCAATAACTAAACCGAGGTATTTAACATCGTTGGAGAGTGTAAGCCCCATTAAAAGAGCAGACGGTATCTTATATCTCTTCGTGAATAGCAACATTTCGGTCTTGGTGGGGTTGAACTCGAGTCCACTATCCCTCAACCAGCGAGGCAGATACCGCTATGTCCAAAGTTCGCTAAGCATTTGGAGATGATTGCCCATTGCTGTGGGTGCATAAGCTATGACGTAAAAATTGCGAAGCAAACTCTAAGCAACTATCTATTTTGTACCTACAGCATCGTGTGAAAGTTAAGCTGGTTACAAGTTAAGAGTTTTAGGAGCTAACTCTATTTTTTCCAGAAATGTACATGCCTCAAAAAATTTAAATGTGAAAATAACGATCACAGATATTTGTTTAATTATTAGTTGCGATCCCGTATGAGTCCGAAGTTGTCAGAAATAGTCACAATTAGCCCAGAGTACTGAAGATATTATACAAATGTATGTGCGAGAACGACTTCTGACTATTTGTGATAAGTTAGGACTCGGTGGGGATCGCAATTACTATTTGGTAAGATCTTGAACAAAATAGTTCCTTCCCAGCCAGCAAAATCACCGTAAACGAGCTCGTAGCTGGATATTTTCTCGAAGAAAAACCGGCTAAAAAGTCCTTTATGATAGCCATTTACGATTCTTGTCGAGTACTTTTTCGCTTGAAATTTTCGAGCACGTACGAACAGTCCTAAACGGATCGATATTCGTATGCGAATATTATATATTATAAAATATGTGGTTCAAGAAAAATTTCCAACAGAAAGAAAATTTTTTCTTGTGCTGGAAATTTACAACAAGCCTCTGAGCCTAAACAGCTCTTCGCGCCTCACTTAAAGCTAGAAGCGTATGCCGGAAGTACTATAGATACGGTGACCATTCGTACCGATTTTGGCGGACAGTACCGATTTTAAGAAAATCGTCCGCTAAATATTTTTTTAAAGTCGCGACGTATAAGTGTCCTGATTTTTCAGTGTTTTCTTAATATTTAAAAAGAGTATCCTTATACTGTGGCCTCCCTTCTTACGTCTACTGTAAGTTGAGTTTGAAACACGATTGAAAAATATGCAGTTCGGGAATCATGTAGACCCATATTTTATCTCTTCGAGCCATTAGTCCTCGAGTACCTCCAGCACTCGAAGAGCAGTCGTTATCAAAGTAAGATCTGCATAGTACTTGTATACCTTCATCATCTCTACACGATCAAAAATGTTCCTTGAATCCCAGGAAAAATTTCGCCCGAAATAGTTTCTTAAAACTAAAATAACCACAAATTTTGTGACTTTTTCTAGACATGTCCCAGCATTTTCTTGATAAAAAGTTGAAACAAATTTTTGGTTCACGCGGCCTGCTGTCAATAAAACATTCCTTGCACTTTTCCGCTTAGCAAGCAAATTCACATTGCCGCCAAATGCACTGGGGTCCGGAAGAGATATTGGCAATAGCAACTAACTGACAGGCTGTGCTGACTTAAAAAAAAAAAATAAATAAATCCCATACATTAATTACAACAACAACATTGGCGCGCTTCTGGCAAATGGCAACAAAACAAACGAAATGTCAAAAGTAGAACCAACGGCTCATTGAAATACGCCACACAGCGCTGTGTCATGCTATGTGCATCTACTGCCGCCAATGACACATTCGATATATTAAAATCCACATGTATATGTATATGTATGTACATACTTTTAAGAAAGCAGCAAAGAAAAATTCTTTGGATTTTCGCAAATTGCTCGAAACATTCAATTTTTTGGAAAGTTGCTGAGAAGATGCTTTCACTTGCTTTCACTGTAGTTGTGTATGTACGAATGCGTATGGGCATTTGGAAGTGTTTCCACATGCATACCTAGTATACTTTCGAATGAACTTTTAAAAATAAAAATGTCACCAATGACTAAATTTTCCTGGTCTACTCAAACATATGTACATGAGTGGCCACATTTAGCGCATGAGTACCTAATTTTAGGTTGACTGACCAGTACTGTAAGACACAGTGCGTTTTGTTTTTATTGTATGTGGAAATACAAATTATTGTCTGTTTTTATTGTTGGTATTTGTAAGGTATGTCTGTAGCGTCCAGTCAATGGAACAGTCATTGAAAAATAGGAAGCCAAAAAACATTGACGAATATCATTTAATCTGCGTTATAGGACCCACTTTCGAAGTGATTACGTTTTCGTAGCCATATTGCCGGCTAAAGTCTTTGGTCTTTTTCACAAAAGCATAAAATAGATTTCAAAAACTGTACGAAATGAAATTTATATCAGACTCTTCTTCTTGTTTGCGTCGCGATCAAAAAACTTCGCCAATTGCTTCTCCCCTTTGCGAATTCGCGCCAGTTGCACATACCGAGTGCAGACAGGTTCTTCTTGTGTTCGCGGTCACCCTTGCTTTCGTTGTCCACCCAAGGGCACCCAGTCGAAAGATGTTTTCACCGGAACCTCGTCATCCACGCGTACAACATGACAAAGCCAGCGTCATCGTTCAATTTTTAAGCGCTTAACTATGTCCATGTCGCTAAAAAGCTCATACAGTTCGTCATTCCATCTTCTACGGTACCCGTCGCCCAAGCGAACAGGGTCGTAGATATTGCGTAAAATAGCTCTCTAGAAAGTACCCAAAGCCTTCTCACCTTTGTTTGACATCGTCCATGTTTCTGCGGGCATGATGAGACACTTGTAGAGCGCGATTTTTTTGCGTCGTGAGAGGGTTTATAAGAGTTATTCTTCGATTGATTTGCCGGCTGACGTTGTTGGTGATGTTTATACTGGAACCTTGGTAGACAAAGTCTACCTCACTGTTATAACTGCATACAGAGACGTGTGTCCCTAAGCGCGTGGACTCTTTATGTGTTGCCATGAGGTACTTTGTCTTGTCCTCTTTCAGCGCCAAACTAACCGCTTTCGCTTCGATAGCCAAACTTGCCGACGATATCGCTATCATCTGAATACGCCAGCAGTACTAGATTTTTACTGTATATGATGCCCCTGCGATTTAAATTGGCAGCCCTTATTATGCTCTCCAGAATCAGATTGAAAAAAGTCGCACGAGAGTGAATCGCCTTGTCTAAAAACTCGTTTGGTCTCAAACAGTAGGGAAAGGTCGTGCCCGATTTGAACGGAACTGAATGTTGTACTCAACGTCTCAATATAATCGACAAAAAGATGGGACATGTCGATTTGCACATCGAGTGTTTTTTGTCCAGAATTTAGCGAACTGTAGAAATCTGCTCGATGGTGGACTTATCAGGTCTGAAGCCACACTCAGTTGGTTCGTAAATAGCTTCAATCTTTTACACAGTATCGCCGACAGGACTTTATAAGAAATATGAAGAAGGCTTATTCTGTGATACTTGACACAAACGGCGGTATCTCCCTTCGCGTGGATTGGGAAAAGTACACTGATATTCCAATTATCGTGCAGGCTTAGGAGCTGGTACATGCTCTCTACCAGAACTTAGCCATCGGCCTCGAACAGCACAGCCGGTAAACTAGCTGCTCCAGGGGTTTTATTGTTTGTAAACCGCATTTTGCTGTTCTCACCTTGCCTTGGCCGAAGGGGCGTCTATATACATTGGTTCGGGTTCTTCCTCATCAAACGCTCTACCTGTTTCGCCATATAACATTTACTTTAGACATCTGATGCCAGATTTCCATATTGGTCTTTGCAGGAGCTAGTCATTTCATTTCTGCCTTATTTTCTGATAGAATTTTCGAGATGCATTCCTGCCTGCCAGTATGTCAGGCTCTTTTCAGGCTCACATAGTGCGAATATTTAGATATTTGAATGACTAAAAACTAGTATTTGAAATACGGAAGGCGCTATTTTATTAACCTTTCAGATACAACTGTACTTTCAGATACAACGCTATTTATTGCCGTGTGTGTATCTATCACCTGGCTTGCGCACCGTGTGGGTAGCAAATTCAAACACTATTCATTTAAAAATTCGTTTCCGAAGAAGCGTTTGAGCACTTCAATGATGCAATGGTCACGGGACTATCAGACAAGATGCTTATCTACTGAAGGCAGGTTTAGAGATTCAATACAGAGCTTCATTCATCGATACAAAGGCGGCTTGTGTTGGCAGCCTAAAATCGAGATTGACTGACAGCTCGAATGCCAATTTTTAGATCTTTGGCCGTGGCTATATAGTAAGTTGTCTTGAAGGACGAAACTCGAATTATATCCCCGATAGATCCTAAAATCGATTCGGGTGGAAAATCCTTTTCAAGAGTGAGAGACGTCGTTGTGTTGTTTGAGATCTAAAAAAAACCCGAAGAGTGAAGGTGTTGGAGTGATCGAGTCTTAATTCCCACTACGCATTACGGTTTGCTTGGAGATTCCGTAAAAGAATTTTAGTAAATGGTCTACAGCCCGAAAGTTGAGTATGCCTTTACAGCTTTTGTAGACTAAGGGTAGCGTTCCTTGGCAGTGAAGACTTATCTTATCTTATATAAAATATAAATTTCTCTAATACATTTTACTTAAAAAAAATCAGCATAAAAGAATAAAATAACAACTGAACGTATTTATACTTTCTTACAGACGAGTCTTTTGAGCACATTGCCAGTGCTATTAGATCAATCTCACCTCACCGATGTCACTATATCAGCAGAGGGACGTACGCTGCGTGCACACCGAGTTGTGCTCAGCGCGTGCAGGTGCAAAATTTCTTAATAAATCCTTCGTATCTCTAATATTGTTCTTGTTTTTAACAGCACCTTCTTCTTGGAGCTCTTTCGCACCTTGGACACCACCAACCATCCAATCATAATCATACCAGGTGCTACATTCGCCGCCATTGTGGCGCTGCTAACTTTCATGTACTCCGGTGAGGTGAATGTCTTCGAAGAGCAAATACCAATGCTGCTCAATCTGGCCGAGACTTTGGGCATTAAAGGACTTGCAGATGTGCAGAATAATGTGAGTGAGCGCTTCCATTCAAATGTTTAATCTAGCTCTTAAGTGTAACTTGTAATATTTCTCCCCAAGTTACAGAAATCTAGTAGACGCGCTGCCACTGCACCGCCAGCGCCACAGCAGCCGACGCAAGATTTTTTAGACTCTTTGCATAAAGAAGAATCAGATTCACCGGCTACACCACCTACCCCACCGCCTACATCCACTTCCATGGCACCACCTACGCTACCACCACCTCTGGCCTGCACCGTGCCACCGCCAAGCGCACAGCTACCGCTGCTCTCTGCTGCGTCAATGCCAAGCGCTTTCAACACACCGCTACTCGGCAGCAAGCTGCCCACACCGCTGGAAAGTTTCTTCCTAAAGTCGCTGCAATTTTATCCGAACTTGCTGCCACAGCCGCTGAACTTTTCTCAAACGGCGCTCAATAAGACCAGCGAACTGTTGGCCAAATACCAGCAGCAATGCAATAGCTTGTACCAAGACGCGTTGGGTATCCCGCCTAAGGACATTTTGCCTACATTTAGTGGTACTGAAGATTACGCAGCGGCAACCCAATTAAGTACGGCAGGAGTCATCGACGATGGCGGCGGCGGCGGCGACGGCTATGGCATTGCGAAGCGTTTCTGCCTGGGAGACAGGCAACGACAAGTGAGCGTTTCCGCCACGAAGCCGCAAACGTCGCTTCTGCACTACACCCAGCATCATCAGCACCACCAGTCACCATCGCCACAAACGCATGGTCAGCATACGTTGGCGCATAGCCAGCCGACGATAATACAACAACAAAAAGACATTAAACGTATAGATAGGATAGTAGAGAATTTACGCAAGACACCGTTGAGCGGCGAGAGCGGCTCAACTGCGCTACAGCAGCATCGACAATCACCGCAACAACAGCAACATTTACAGAGTCACCTCCAAGCACCACCACTGAGCGTAAAGACGTCCCTGGGTGCCAATTATACGCCTAACTTGCCATCGCCCCAATTAAGTAGCACCAATATGCCGTGGTCCATCTCTTCGTCGCCAGCAACCGCCTCCACACAGAGTCAATTACAGCAGCATCATCAACACACACATGCGTTGTCTTACTTGAGCGCTGACGATCAGGTGGCAAAACTGCAGCAACAAATAGATCAATTTGCAAGTTGCAGTCGTAGCGCCGCTGCAGCAACCACTTCAACAGCTGCTGATAGCAATGAGAATAAGGCCAACACGCATGGCGATGGTAGTCTGCTGTCGGCATTGACAGAGAAGCCACCGAGTGGCGCGGCGAATTTATCGAGCACGCCAAACGCGAGCCCACAGCCGAAACCACCGTCAAACTCAAAGCTCTACGCCACCTGCTTCATCTGTCACAAGCAGCTTAGTAATCAATACAATTTGCGCGTGCATCTGGAGACACACCAGAATGTGCGGTGAGTACTACATAGATGGCGACTTTTTTTATATTTGTAATCCTAAAACGAAGTATTTGTTTCTGCTTTCAGCTATGCTTGCAATGTTTGCTCGCACGTGTCGCGCAGCAAGGATGCCTTGCGCAAGGTATGTAAGCCACGCAAATGCTGCT